CACTCCTGGTGGACGCAGGCATAGGCTGGTGTACGTTTTATCGATACCGTACTTTGTTGGTCGCTGGCGCTGAAATACTCTCAAAACGCTCAAGACGCTGCCGCAAAGTATGAACACAGCCTTATGTGGCCTACCACACACTCTCAGATCGATCGGTGCCGGCCACTAGTGTGTCAGAAGAGTACAAAAGAGAAGGAGACCAGAGTGTGTGTCGAGGCAACACGTACTCTCCTATTCTTCCATACTCTGTCTCAAATGTCGCGACCAGCGCTGATCGATACTAATCTATGGCTGTGTCCCCGGCTGTGCGAACTGAAGCGCTGTTGCAATGGTAGCACATCGACGCGCGTCATTTCGAAGTCTGAACGCTGGCCACATGACAAAATCACTAACTTCTCTGTCGATTTCGTAGCGTCTCCAACATCATTTACAGCAGTTTTCTGAAATTCGATTCGCTGATGCTAAACGTCGCCTCGTTTGAAAAAGGTCTTAAAAATGCACACCTTTTCCTGAGTAACACCCCCACCTACAGTCTTTTGATTCTTCTTTTCAACAGTCATTGTCGCAGTTCAGTGGATCGCGGGCAAATTACCTGTAAAATATGAAAAATGTCTTAGATAATATAAGAGAGCAGCTAAGCGAGAGGTATCAAAACCAATGGCTTCAATATTAATACGTCAATTTGCGTTCCTAATTCCTGTTGCTGATAACGAACTGGTGCCAGATATCGACCTGCAGCCAGGGCACATATTGGTTGGGGATTTTACTCGACTGCGTACGACCCCCGCCACCTCCGGCCCTCTGTCCCTCCTCATCGAATCGAGCCGTCGAGCGGGGGGAGGGAGGAAGGAGGCGTCCGTGAAACAGGAAAGATCAACTATTAAAAAGAAATTTCTCTCAGCCCATGTACGACCCCCTTGTTGGGAATTCCCCAACAACGATGTGCCTTCCTGCAGCAGGATCGAGCGACTGAGCTTGAAGGCATGCTCCGCATTCAATAGTGAGTTGTGCGGCTCAAGTACTAATTACAAGATGATACAATGATTCACTAGTGAATGAGGGGGGAAAAGTCATCCGAAATGCCCTATATAGAACCCTAGGCCGAACACTCTGTAGGTACATAATGCGAAAAAAGTGGCCGTACGCGTTCTCGGATCGGCTCTCCAATTATCACCTTACTCTCACCATCCGGAGTGGAGAGAACCACTATTGGAACCATTAACAAGCTATGAGATATGAAAGTGGGGTAATTAGGCGTTGAGACTGGAGGATGATTGGCTGTCAGCGCGCTTTCTTCCGGCCACTCCATCTTTCGCTTGAATATTCTCAACGCCTCCTCTTACCTTAAGTCACATGCGAAAAACTCTTAAGTACATGAAGTCTACTCCTAAAATTTTTTTCATTTCGCAATGTCTTATCAGTAAACATTTCTCATTAGGTCGTAACAGGTTTAGCTGCACTAACTATTATAACATATACAGTAACTTTGCAAGACCTGTCAATCGCAAATGAGTACATTTCTTGCTCTCAATTCATTATTGCTGTCCATTGTTTAATTGATGTATAAATTATGTTCTGATTCGTAAAGTCGTATTTCGGTGAAAGAAGATTCTTGATATAGGCTTGGCAGTCTTTTTTAATTTATATTCAAATGAATGTCGCCACGACGTAGAGTAGATAATTCGTCAGAGAATAAGGATCCAAACGAGATTTTAGTTCAGAAAGCAAAACGTGGTAGTTTTCGATCGGAAAAGTTTAGGTAGTGAGATGTTTCAAAGCAAGAAGGTTTATTGACCTTTGTACTTCTACATCCTCGTATCTAGTTGAGTCTTTTCTTGAGAAAAATTAGAGATGAGAATCTGAATGAGTCATTTTTATACGAACTCATCGAAGCAGGTCCGTTTTCTATAATTAAAACGACATACCTGCATTTTGAGTCGTAACAGCTCGTCCTCTTCATTGAGTGGTTTGATTGGAAGAATGTCTTCCTGGAATAGTGTAGTTACCCCATATGTTAAGTGTGGCAAGCGCATACAATGAAAAATTCATATGTGCTATCGAAGTTGCTTCGCCCTCTTGCAACACTTGACCCAAAAAAAGCAATGAAAAGGTTCACGTTTACGGCCTCCTTACCTCTTCCTGCTCTGCTTTGACGAACTGCAGTAAGGCGCTTTCTGGCTGGCTAGTGGACGGTTTTTCGGCCTGTTCGGGCAATACTGAGCGAATCGCACGCTTTCTCTTTCCTGACAGGTGACAACATAAAGTACATACAATACGTCACTAGCTTTACATGGACGAAAAAGGACCCTTCTTCCACGGGCCTCCCTTCGAAGAGCGCAGACGAAACCCTGTACGGCCAATCTCGCTTCGTGGCCCCTCAACTAAAAAAGGCCGAATAACTTTCCAGTGAGGCACAGGTGGAATAGAATCGGTAAATGGAGAATCGTCATGATCATAAAATCCTGATTATAGGACAAAAAAGAATGATAAGGAAGTACCTTCACAACGACAGGTTTCGTTTTGTCCCTGATGAATCTTCTTTGGAGCGGGAGCAGTAGGAGCGGTGAAAACATCTCAAAATAACTGAATTATCTATTGTTTCACTGTAAGAAAGTGACTGTCTATCCCTTCTCTAAGAACGATAGCCTACTCGTCCTCTGAAGATGCTTACATGGAAGAGTGGCGAGAAGCCGTTTCAGAAGGAATCAGTAGACAAGGTCGGACATAGTCGGTCAAGGAATACATGAACAAAAAGGAAACAGTAAAGTAACAGGAACAGTAGAGTTGCTGAATGCGTCCAAACCCCAAGATGGAGAAAAAGAACAAGAAGCAGCTTACTTAGTTTCGCATGGGATCTCATAAGTACTACACTTGGAGCTTTCCTATACATAGATAAAGCCACGTTCGCATAGGGGGGGGGGGCGCTTCAAAGAAATATGGTAGCGGAAAACTAGAATGTGTGTAGGCGCGAAAACTACACCGTAGAGCACTACATCAGAGAATTACGTCCAAAGACCCAAGTGCTTCTTCCCACCCCAGGTTCAATGTGCAAAAGTGGTCCCTGTCCGAAATGTTGCCTCGTGAAGGAAATGAGGCTAAATTCCCAACTCCTTCACTTAGCAGCAGCGCTGTACAAGAAGCCCTTCATGAGTTCTTCCTCTCCCTACCCAAAACCGACAAAAGATTAGACGAGACTGAATCGAATCGCCGATTCCCAAACAGCGGTTCTCTGCAGCTTTATGCCAAGGCACGTGATCGCCTGAGAAATTGCAAGATGAGAAAAAGATTGTTCTACCTGCATGAGATCATCAAGCAGATTCAACGCTTCTTGAAAATCAGCTGTGGAAGTTGACTCAGCCAAATGACCTTCAGATTTCACACGTTTGACGTCTGAGCTCGATCCAGGTGGTGAAGTCGCCTGTAGAAGAGAGGACATTTTAGATAGAGGACTCTGAAGCGAAGAGAACCCCGAACATACCTTTCTTGTTATTTTCGTTTATATGGGCCCATTTGTGAGCTTCGGCCGGAGCACCTAATCCGTGAAAATAGAGACAATACCGATGCGGTTTGGACTCTTCGTCATCAGCCAATGTGAAGGATACTCTTGGTTTACGAGTATCAGGTCTAGGAAGTCACTGTTAGATTTTCCAAATTATTAAAAGTTAGATCAGTAACGACCTACTTCTCCTCTTTGACCACAGCTGTTTCTTGCACGACCTTGGAGGAGTGGTTACTCTGTTCCTCATCACTGCTGCTCTCGCTTAAATCTCCACCAAACAGATTGTCATCATCCATAACTGGAAAAACTTCAATGTGCAGCAAACGTGCCACTAAAGCAAATTTTAATTACCCCCTAAAATCCCATAGATAAGAGCGGTCCATGGATAAGAGCGGTTTGTGCTAGAAATGAAAATTGACGTTTGTATACGTTTTTTTGGCGTTGTGTGCTCATGATGACTACGAAGAAGCTGCATTTTTAGTTAGCGAAAGTTTCCAATCCATTTCATCTGATGTTATTCAACATAGCTTTGAAAGCATTGTGTCGAATGTTGAAATCTCAAAAACGATTTATGAACGAGTAAGAATTGCGGGAAAAGTTTAAGTGTTATGTTTGTATGTTGGATGTCTTGTGCTTGATATTCTGTGAATGTTTTGTGTGAAATGTGTTTTGAGATGAATTGTGGTGAAATAAGAATTAAAAATGTGTTTTTCAAAATCATTTTTCACCGGTAAATTAACCCGCTCTTATCTATGGGATTTTAGGGTAGTTTAGCAAAGAAAGAGTGGTTTTACAGGGCTAGTTGCTTGACAAGTAAAAGTAGTAGAGAAAGAAGTAAAGGTGATATGATGGGAGTTATCAAGGGCAATCGCGATTGGATCGTAACAATAACTTATGCAGCTAAAAGGCTTTGAAACACGCCCACACGTGGCGATGAGGGATTTCCACAAACTTCTCGTACTGAAGGAGATCCCCTCTAACTCCGATAGCCATCAAAGAGTAACTGACTAGTAAACATTTCGATGACAACCCTTCGTGAATCTCCAAGCATGTAGTTGCCTGCTTGAAAAACGTGGAAATCATGCCAAAAGGATTTCCAACCTGGCATTACGGTATTTATGCGGAAAGACCGTAAAACTCTACGTACTCGCGTCCGAGCATCGACGCGCATTTCGGCGTCCTACGTCGTCGCGCTCCCACTGTCCGCCACTTTCGCTTTGGATCTGTTCATCTCCTCTTTCATTATTTCCCACTCATTTCTTTGACAATGTGCATCAAAAGGTACCTAGCGGATAGCTTCCCCACAGAAGCCATAGGAAGATGTCCATATTTCGGCTGTTTTCCGAGTCGATTCTTTTGGAACACTGTTCGGTAGATCAGGGTCATCATTAGGCTTTGGCTTGTTGAACCCCCCCCCGGTCCTCAATAATTCTCATTTATTAGACTTTACAACATAGTTCATTGATCTCAGTTTCAAAGATTTTATTTGAACTTATTTATTTTTAAAGACTTTAAAATCTGCTCTTAGGACTGCAATATGGAACTAATCAACCTCTCCTCTATAAAACCTTCTCGTCGGTGTAACATTCGGTGCCTTCTTTTGTGTCGAAAAGATTGCAAGGTAGGGCTCTCACTAAAGACCTAAAGAAGAGCCCCACTTAATGACGTGTCTCAAAAGCCCTGATCCGGCCCATCTTAGTATTCTGTCGACTACGACCTTTTCCTCTCTACTCTCTTCCCTTTCTCACCTCCCTCCGAACGCTCACTGTCAAGCTGAAACGTAAATGCCGCTGAAGTCTTGCGGCGAGGGAGCATCCAGCTGACAGAGCCCCGTAACCTGATCAGCTCCAGGAAGGACCTCTGATTCGATAAGGTGGGCACATGGCTTGGTGTTCCTCTTATTATTCGCTACACACTTGCTATTCTTGGACGCCCCCAACCGCTCGCTTACCCCTGCTCTGTGCGCTGGGCCATCCGGCTATCGATTGTCCGACCCGGGTATGCGTAGATAAACACGCTGTGTGGTGAGAGAATGAGGCAACAAAAACTCGAGCGATATTGCCCGCAATGATGTGACCGGCGGCCGTCGGTCTTCACTCTCACGTTTTCCAATTCCATCTCACGTATGACGTTCTCGAGAGCGGCACTGAAGGGTTCGTCTAAATGGTGTAGCCCGTTCTGGCGCTCTTTTTCACATCGGTGCTGACTTCCTTGTAGAAATCCTAATCGCGAAGTTGTTGTAGCGATCATCAAGAATTCTAGTGTAATAACCGGTTAAGAACGGTATAGTTCGCTGCGTTCAGGCAGTATGAATGTCTCACCCCGTCAAAGCCGTTCCCTTCCTTCTTGTTGAAGCGCGCGCGAGAAAAGTGGTAGAAAACAAGTAATACGATGGATTTGATACAGTATTGTCACTTGCCCGCTTCAAGAACTGGTGGAGAACGAGTTTGGCACCGCGCCGCCACAGCATTACTCTATAGATCAAATTGGCCATAAGAAATGAGATGTGTGCCATTTGATGCATTGGACGGTATCTTTAATTCTTACCATTAAGTTTTCGCTTTCAACTCAAATTCCTTGTCTGCTGAATAATTCTCTGAAAAATTTATCGAGGGTTTTGTGAGGAGCCACTTTATCTTAAAGACAGCGCCCGCGATGGACTTTGGCAGGTCTCAGGGGTCAAATTTGTTAGAACAGGTGGCCAATGAAGCACTAATCAAAAAAAGTAGGAAAAAGGTGTGGAAGAGCGTGAAATAAGACCCTACGAAATTTAAGGCATGTGGACGAGTTTCGCAGACCTTTGGTGAGTTCTCCAATACACGTCGCCGCCTCGGAACTCCAGAAACTTAGCGTTTATCAATGCCAGCAAGCACTGATAACTGTTAACCAGTCGGGGCGGGATTAACAGGGAAGGAGGCGTCAGCTCAGCCTTGTTGACTCCGCCCTCGTCAATCAATACATTTCGAGCCGCAAGAGTGGGATATCCGCTGTGGTTGCGTACTCCGCGTTCTGTTTTCATTGGAGAGTTTTTTCACTTTGGTTGATCGCGGACGCTGCCTTTAACATGTTTTTTGTATACAGTCTTGTTCGCCGAGATGAATGGGCGTGTCAGGCGGAATGAGTATGCCGCGGCGCCAAACCCGATCTCCAACTGTTCTTGAAGTGGGTAAGCGACAACAGTTTGGTGGGAAATGATTCAAATGAACGACAAGATACAGTCTTGTCCCAAAAAACAGGGCGCCAAACAAGCCGCTGGGTAGCGAACAGGACTGTAGGCACAAAGCCGGGTGTTCTCTGTGTTAATCGCTGCTCCCTCAATGTTGCGGATATTCTCCAGGCCGACGCTTCCTTCTGCTCTGTTTGGCGCTAGGCCGTTCGTCATATCGATTCGTTGTCCCGGTTAGAGCACGCTACTTTGAGAGAATGAGGCAGCAAAAACCCGGAGCGCCATCAGGGCGGTCATGATGTAATTGCCACCTATTGATGTTCACTCTTATGCTGTGCCATCTCCCATTCCATTCCACGCATGACATCCTCGAGAGGTCGGGCTAAGTGGTGTACTCTTCACGTCAGTGATGATTTTCGTAGTCTCGGAAAGTGAAATTCCTATAGCGCTACACAGAGAATTGGGCACTATTCAGCTATTACCACCACATCTTCGGAGGCGGGGCAGTTTTCACCGGCTTTTTATACGGCAGCAGATTTGTTTCCAAGGACAGTTTGACCTCCCAAGCAGGGCACGCCATCGCGTTGTAATCATTTTCTGACGACCCACCCTAATTCCATACTAAAATATAACCCCCCTTTTTTGGGAGTTGGTACGACCCCCTACCCTCCCACCCCTCTGTCCTTCCTCATCGAACGGCCGACCCTCGGGGGGGGAGCACCCGCACTTTTTCCCCAGAAAATTTTGACTGTCGAGAAGGGGATTGTCGTCAGAGATTAAACTGACCAAATACGACCCCCCTCCCAAAATGACCAAGTACGACCACCCCCCTTTACAGCGTCCGTGAAACAAGAGAAATCAACTATCAAAAAATTTTTCTCTGAGACCAAGTACGACCCCCCCCCCCCTCGCGGTCAAACGACCCTCCCCTTGTGATGATCACAACGATGGCGTGCCGTGCTCCTGAGCACGAAGATCGCATTCGCTAGGCCTGAAACTGCCTGGCGCCCGCGCCAAAACACCCTCGATCTCAAAAATCGATCGAAACTTGTATACTGGGGTTGTTTGACATCCTCATTACGGACATAACACTTTCTTGTCGACGGCGCTACTGTGGGACACTATGCTAATCTGCGCTACTTCTCACAGGCTCTGCCATAGCAGATAAATCGAAAATGAATATCATATCCGCGCAGGTTTTCACAGGTTCATTGAAAAAGGGTAAGGCGCCAATTTAGCGCCAAATGGCGTCAGGGCTAAAAATGTCGATAATTCATGTTGATCAGAGCACTGGATCACCTGATGTGGCGCAAGGTTTCAAACAAAATTTTGTGTCTTTGAAGTAGTAATATGTAAAGTTGAATCATACCTGAGATTGCACTGAGGCCGCGTTCATAGCCGTTCGTGAAGAAATGCGGAAAATGCAGAAGTGCGGAATCTGCAGAAAAGCAATAGATACTTATCGACTTGAAGAAATGCAGAAATGCCGAAACTGCAGAAGTGCGGAAAGTGCAGAAATGCCGAAAGTGCAGAAGTGCGGAAAAATGCAGAAATGCCGAAACTGCAGAAGAGCGGAAGGTGCAGAAGTGTGGAATCTGCAGAAATGCCGAAAGATGAAGAAATGAACGTATCGGTTGCTTTTCTGCACATTCCGCACTTTCGGCATTTCTGCAGATTCCGCACTTCTTCACTTTCGGCATTTCTGCAGATTCCGCATTTCTTCACTTTCGGCATTTCTGCATTTCTTCAAATCGATACGTATGTAATGCTTTTCGTCATTTCTGCACTTTCCGCACTCTGCAGTTTCGGCATTTCTGCATTTCTTCAAGTCGATAAGTATCTATTGCTTTTCTGCAGATTCCGCACTTCTGCTTTTCTTTCTGCACTTCTTCACGAACGCAATATACAGGGGGTGGGGGGTCGCAAAAAAAAAGTCATTCCGGCCGAGTCACATATGACGAAGTTTTTCCGGCAGCCAAACAGAGGAAGTGGATATGAGTACCAGGGCGGAAGATACCCAAGATCTTCCTCTATAAGCAGGAGCCGGCTGCCGCCATTCACCTTCATGTACACCAAAATATGAAGTCATCTCCAGTCGCGGCCTGAGTGGAGAACGCCTTTGGAATTCAC